TGTCGACAGGATCTGAACCCAATGCGTCGGCGTTATTAAACCGGTGTCATGCCACTTGAAAATCATAAAAACATGTTTTATTAGGCCTACAGAATAGAATGGATACTCTCTGTAGCCCGAACATTATTATGCAGTATCCAAAACATGGGTAGGTCATTATAGAGCCTAAAGCGGGCTGGTCATTATTCATTCAACTGATATACCGAATAACTTTAGAGAACTGTGCATTGACTATTCACCAACGTGCAATAACACTGGAAAATGTTTTCAACGATAAACACAAATAACACCGGACTGAGTAGAGCCACCGAGTCTCTAACACGACAAGCAAGATACTCAATTAATCATAAAACCTTCGATATCATTAACCAATTGCTAATGTACATCTACTTTTAGTTATTTATAGAAGTATGTATTATCGCGTATATTGTAGGTCCTAAAAATATTGATCACGCAGTACTTACTGTTTCCCGATGGAGTAGGCATACACATCACAGCGTATATCAAGAATAAGGTTAGAAAAACTAAACCAAGCTGCTGTCGTCTATATCCTGATCGCGGGTTGATTTGTAATAACGCATCCATTGCCCATATATGTACCTGCAAGGAAGGTGATCAACGATTAATAATTGTATTTTTCAAGCAATTGTTTTGAAATTTAATGAAATGTATGGGTCTATGATTTAAGGGAAAATATACAACATAGTTACTGCACATATAAATAAAACTATCATAATTATAAATAAAATGTTTTAAATGTTTTAAACTATTTCAATTTGTTCCTATTTTACTCATAACCAGAATAGTTTACGTCTCTGTCCATGCTAACTGCCTATTATTTTATGACAGTATTTTAACAATTTGCCAATGGGATTTATCATGGGCTATTGTATCATATTTTATTCTTTTAAGGTATATTTTAGTTGAAAGAAAAAAACCATATAGATTCACAATTTCATGCAGTTTAGATAAGCTTTTGCCCCATTTTCCTTTCTTTTAACGATTGTAATGTATTGGAATACTTAATACTTTCAATTATAATCGACTCATTAAATGTGCAACCTCTCTTAAATCTGATGAGTTCAAATTTCATCTTTTTTAAACATGTATATTTCATTATCTAATTTACATTTTTTTTTTAATGAGATGAATGTGTTGGACTGAGAAAATTAAATCTCCGTATTTATTATAGAAGACTAATGTGAATCTTAATGCAGAATTTACTAGTGTTTGTTAATAAATCTTACCGGTACTTACCTGTAAATTCAGATTTCTTGCTTTGCACAATCAAAATAGAAGAGTTCTTATTTCATTGGCTTAGTCTGTTACTGTTCCCTGGTTATACGGATGAAAACCTTGTGTGGGTGATGTCGTGGAGTATGACATTTATAAAACAGATAATTTGCCTTTAGTAGAGGGCGTTTGTTAATTTGTAATCTGTGGTACAAATGCCATATATTTATGGTTCTCAACCTTTTTCAGAATGGGGACCATTTGTGCAGTCAACAATCACCTTAGTCAAATCATGATTGGGGCTGAGATGAGAAAATATGGCAATCTCGTAATTCAGTTCTTTCAATTGTGTCTAAAAATGTCGAATTTATATATCAAAACTATTTTTCTAACTCACTCCTCTAAATCAATAGTAAACATAAATCCATAGGCCTAGTGATGACTTTTAATCTATATTGTTTTTAACATTTTTTTTACATAATATATTTTTTTTAACATAACGCTGATTTCACCCTACCGTTCCGTGTTGAGACTGATGCCAGTAGTACAGGATTAGGTTCAATACTGTTTCAAGAGGACGATAAGGGAAGACACCACGTAGCATATGCATCACGTACGTTGAGACCAGCAGAACAGAGTGGACGTTACAGTGCCTTCAAACTTGAACTGCTGGCCATTAAATGGGCAGTGACTGAGGTTTTCAAAGATTATTTGTTTGGACACAAATGTACTATTGTGACTGACCACCATCCCCTACTCTTTTTGGACAAGGCAAAATTAGGCTGTACTGAAATGAGATGGGTTCAACAACTTAGCTCATTCGACTATCAGATCACATACCGACCAGGTGCAAGGAACCAGGCACCTGATGCTCTTTCGCGGACAAATCAACTTTCAGAAGAGAATAAACCCGATAAAGCAGACGAACTAATTAGAGATTGCACCGTAGTTGTGGAGCTTGCCTTGGGGTGTACAGTTTAGGGACTCTCCTCCCACCCGCAATACATCAACATGTTGAAGTATGTCAACCGAGAGGAACCATTTGCTTCCCAGCATACACGTTAGACGAATTCAAACAGCTACAGCAGGAAGATATGCATCTGCAAGAGGTTGTACGATTTGTCGCTAGAGGGAGGCAGCCTAATCGTACGGAGCGGGTCTCTTGTACCCAGAATGCCCTGAAGCTACTGCGCGACTGGAAACGACTCACAATGGATTCTGGCGTTTTGTGTCGGAGAGTGACAGCCCCGTATAACGTGGTATATTCACAGAAGGCCCTTCCTTTTTCACTGGTGGGAGAAGTGCTTACTAAATACCATGATGAAACAGGACACTTTGGAGCAAAACGAACCTTCAAATCAATTTGGAAGGTCTTCTATTGGATTGGTATGTCCGAAATGATCAAAAAGTGGTGTTCAAAGTGTCGCCGCTGTAGCTTGAGTAAACCCCCGGTGCGGAAAACACTACCGGTGCATGGGACAATTACTGCATCGGCTCCAATGGAGACTATAGCTATGGACTACACTGTAGTAGAACCATCAAAAGACGGTTTCGAAAACATCTTCGTTCTGACTGACGTGTTTACGAAATATGCGTGGGCAATTCCGACTAGAGATCAGCGTGCTATCACGATCGCCAAGGCCCTAGTGAAGTATGTCTTTACTCCTTATGGATGTCCAATGCGCTTACACTCGGACCAAGGCAGAAACTTTGAGGCACAAGTTGTACGAGATCTGTGTAACCTCTACGAAATTAAACGGAGCCACACTACACCATACCACCCCTCAGGAAACGGGCAATGCGAGAGGTTCAACAGGACCCTTCACAACCTCTTGTCTACCCTTTCGGAGGAGGTCAAGCTGAAGTGGCCTGAATACCTTCCTAGCCTGGTGTTTTCATACAACAACACGTCACACTCCAGCACCGGAATTGAACCATTCTTCTTAATGTTTGTTAGAAACGCTCGTCCACCACATGGTTTGGTCTTAGGCGGGGAAGCCAGATTCACTAATGATGGAACTATAGCAACGTATGTCACTCAACACCAGTCCCAGCTTAAAATGGCCCGCAGGATAGCGAGCAAACACTTAGCACAGATAGCCAATACTCGTGGACGGTCTCAGAAGGTATTTGAGAAACCCCTCAGCGGGGGGCAGCATGTACTGGTTCGTACGCGAGGATTCAAAGGACGATCAAAGATTTAGGACTATTGGGAGAGTGAGCCATATTTAGTGATAAAGCAACCATTTGAGGACAGCCCAGTATATGTGGTACGCAACAAACTGGGAAAGGAGAAAGTGCTACACCGATGTGAATTGAAGCATTGCCCGTGGCTTTCAGAAGGTGAAATAGACCTACTCTCGAATGATGACACTCCTTCATCAGATTCAAGCGAGGATTTTGACCCTGACTCCACAACCTGGTACGTATTCTAGCCAACACCAGAGGGGAATGAATCTGTTCTATATGATGAGGTTAGTCATGACGTAGAACCGGGATGCTCTGTGGAGATGAATATTAACGAACAATCTGACGGTGAACATGATGAGCAATCGGAAGCCAGTGAGGAGGGACAAGATGTGGTAGAAACTTATAATCAAACGGGTGGATCAAGTCGCTACCATTGAGGACAAACAGGGGTAAACCACCTGATAGATATACCTAATTAGACATACTGAACTATGCACTTAACGTTACATTAAGCACTTACGGCTTATCTATAAGGCTTAACTTTTGGAAACTTGATATTGTAAAGTTTGATAACTTGTTTTTACGTTATAAACTGCTGTATGACCGATATGATGCACACAACTGATTGCAAATATGGTTCAATTTAAATTTGAGGCGTTGTGTTTAATGAGTTGAAAATTATTATAATGTTGGTACAGTTTTTTGTTATTTAATAATGGTTAAATTCTGAAATACGAGATAATAAGGAAAGACGTACAGTAGTTAGTTAGGCCCTATGTGAGTCATCAGGGGACGATGTCTCCTAGGCGGGGAAGGTTGTAGGGAGTCTAGACGAGAACATTGTATAAACATATGGGAGAGTTATGGCAACCTTGTTTACGTACTGAGAAGGTTCCTAGGCAACCTTGCTCCCTAGGCAACCTTGCTCCTGCGTACGGTCAGCGTCGCTTATGGTGCGATGCTGTTTGCCTGATGTTTTGTAGATTTACTAGATACTTTGATGGGTGTTAATAAATTGAAGTTGAACACGTATAGGACGACTCCAGCTCTATTATTTCGCAACTGTGTGCTTTGCTTGGCCTGTGAAACGACACAACCTCTACATATATAGTAGTCGGCGGGATAGAGTGAGGCGGAGATCGTATTATGCGATTGAGCTACGACATATTCTGTGAATTGCAGGTTCGATTTCTTTGCCAGCGAGAATACTAATTTGGATAATACAGTAATTACTTTGTTAACAAATTCCAATGATTTTGAATGTGTGTTTAATATAGGCCTATTTGATCAATTTCTTCAAATGTCACGATTTTAATGTTTTAGTTAATCGTGTGGTGCCCTCTTAGCTAACGAATATTTCGTTCACAATAATTTTTCCAGGGGTAATTATCTCTGCTTTAGGCCTACAGTAGGTCTATTGTGATCGTCGTCAGTATATTTTGCATCGGTGTAGAGTGATAATTTGCTATATGATATTGTATTGTGTAAATAACTGTCTCTTATACACATCTAGATGTGTATAAGAGACAGCTTTAAACACGTCTTAACAAATGGATAAATAATAATAAAAGTACTGTATTTGTTTATATTGTGCTTACGGTACTACGTTTATATTAAACCTGATTTATTATTTTTTTAAAATTATTAATTACTATGATTTCCAATTTGCAACCTATAAGCTTTTCCAGCTTATCTATAGCTCCAATGTGTAAGCGTGTCAGTCAGTTGCATGTGAGAAAGTGCGTGAGAGTTGGATCTGCACGTATAACGTATAGGCCTATCCTATAGGTTTCCTTGGTCTAATGGACATGACACTCGCCCATTTGGTAGTTTGTTTTCTTTTTTCTTTTTTTTTTTTAATTTCCTTTTTATCGATAAAAATATATATTACTAGCACGTATTCTATATATAAAAGCCCGATTCACCAGATTGTTTATCTACCATTTTTGTGTTCTTTAATTTTTAAATTTGGCTTGATCTCTTTGTATGCTCAACCTGGTTATCAGTTACATTAGAATTGCTCTTTGTCTTCATTCCGTATCCTGTTGTTGTACTGTGACGTAATTGTTTATGTTTTCTAAACGTCGCCCTCATGTTTCGATTGACATTGAAGGCGATAAAGATAAAAAGACCTTGTGAAGTATTCAGTATAATAAATATGTACCATATTTCTACGCGATCGGCGAAAGAAGCAAGAAATCCAAACAGCCATGTGAGACCCATTATAGTGGAAATCTGTAAAAAAGAAAAAAGAAACATGGAATAAATAAAAAATCTATTTTATGTGCTATGTATTGTAATTTGGTAGCCATAAATCCAGAATTGATAAGTATGACAATATTTTTTATAAAGTAATTTTGAATACAGTTATAGAATTTAAGGAGGTAAATACAATATGATAATTACTGTTCAACATAAACACTTTTTTTTTAAATAAGAACACATTTTATAAGAAATCTAAGGCTGAAATTGCTTAAAAAAATAAGAACAAATTAAGGCAGAGGTAAAATCTAAAATGAGGTTTTTTTTTTTCTTTTTTTAAACTAAAAAACTAACAAATTATATCTGTACCTTATTTGCAGTAAGTGTGACTATAATAATACTCTCTATAATACAATACAGTAATATACTCTGTACAATAATAATGTTCTAGGTTTGAAATTAAAAATGATGACTAAGGGTGGAGCAAACCTTTTGTTTGTTATTTAAAGTAAATAATTAAATTGTATATATTTTTTTCAGAGACGTTCAAAATTGTCCAAATAATGGAGCTCTCAGCTTACCCTGATATAAATCTTCAATTCTTTTGATATCATATTTCGTTTAGATTCATTCGTCTGGACACGAGTAGTCGAACGCTTTGCTTTCCTAATTCCGTGTATGGTGAAGATAAATAAAACAAGGTTTACAATAATAACCAAAGCGATCGGCAAACCAAAAACGACGAGGCTTGCAAACTCGTCACGGATCCAGCAAACAGAATCATCGCTATATTTAAAGTAAAATGCGGAAAAATCGGTAGAGTGGACGCCCAAGAGAATGCAGACGAAAATTGCCGGAGTACACCAGCTATATATCATGTATCTTCTGTAGATAATCCGGTTGTGATCTTCATCTCGAGCGGTAAGCTTGAGTGTGCGGAAGACGCGGAACAAATCGATCGCCATTGAGTTCATCCAGAGAAATGCTACCAACCAGATGTAGTGAAGGACAGCTGCAACCGCAGTACAAGCTTTCGAATCACCGACAAAATGTCCTTGGACAAGGGTCAATAACTGAGCGATAAATAGAGCTAGGGACAAGTTCATGATGATCTTCCCCGAATGGGTTCGAAGCTCATCAAAAACACATCGTATTACGAAAGTGAAAAACAAACCGATGAGAGAAAGGATGACTCCAGTCATGTTCACTGCTAGTAGAGATCCAGAATACACGAACAAGATCGTTGCATTTGTTTCTGCGGTTTGACTAAAGAACGAACACACCAATACGCTGCCTTTCGTAGTTAAACTGTATTCACTTATAGGAAACATTTTGCCAGTTGCTTCGTGCACTAGGGTTTTGTTATTATTGTTGTGCTTTACAAATGAGTCGAGATCGAGTTCGATTAGTGGGCAAGAATCTGCTGAAGAATCTATGCAAGAATCCACAGTCACACTCACACATATTGTGGAATCATTTTTTATAATGTACATCATTTCTATAGTGTATTCATCATCTGGAACGTAAATTGATTCATTTTTATTCTTGAGAACCCTCGTTCTACTAGAATTAATTACATCTATTTGGTTAGCAGATATAGTTTCAATTTCACAATTGGCATTCCTAAATGCATTCGTACTGTTCCAACACTGATGTACGAATGCTACGTAATTCAACAATGAAATCCCTGTGTCGTCTGTGTAAAGCCATTTGCTAACAACTGATGACAAGTAGGCGACTTCTTGGCACTCAGTTGTCGCAAATGTAACATGAAATAGACCACTGTTATCTGGAAAATGCTTAACCGACTGGTTAGAAACAGTAATATTGGTTCCGGATGTACTTCCTATCACATGCTCTTTTAAACTATTTGATGTGGACGTGTTATCGTTCGTCAGATATGTTATACTTACAAACTGCTCGTCAGTTTGACACAAGCAGAACATTTCACTAGAGATCAAAGGAGGTTTGTAACTACATTCACTGGGAGTCTCCTTCACTGGGTCGAGGCTGACAACGCATGTTGATCCAGATAGGGTATAGCCAACGTCACATTGCAGGTCTATGCATTCTTCCATGATGTAATTATAAACTTTACCTATACCACAATCTAAAGGACTCTCTGTGTACGTATGGTATTCTGATTGTAAGCTGATTTTTCCGTCAGCAAAGTTGACGAGTATGTCTAATGTTGTATAATGGGGACCTGTTGGGCCCGGTTCACCAGGTGGACCCTGCGGGCCAGATGGACCAGGTCGACCTTGTGGTCCAGATGGACCAGGTCGAGCATTTGGGCCAGATGGACCTGAGGGACCCTGTGGCCCAGATGGACCATGTGGGCCAGGGGAACCGGGTGGACCTTGTGGACGAGGTTGCAAATTTGGCTCATCAAGTTTCTCACAACTGTATGAATTATGGTATCCGTTACAGATGACACAATGTGGATTCTTATATGCAGTATCAGTAACAAACACCGTAGCTGAATAAGCAGCACATCCGATTTTAATTTCTTCATTCCCATAATGTTCAGGACACACTTTCCGTAACCTATGACAGATTCGGGGAGGTTTTCTGTCTTTTGGGGGTGTGTATTTGTATGACCGACAAAACACGTCTTTTCCTAGTTTGTCATACAACGTCTTTTGTGGAATATTTGTTGGAGTGGCACTCGTGCCAGACCCAGTTTCTTCGGCGTCAACCGTACGCTGAAGTTCATCTGTATCACAGGACGCAGTCATACGCCAAGCAAATAGGTCTGTTACCTGGATGCCGTCGCAAGCTGCGCAATAAATATTTCGATATACACTTCCACGAGAATCAGTTACAGGGACTTGCTGTATAATGTAACGTGAGTCCGGTTGTTCACATTTTAACAAAACTCTTTCGTCAGTTGATTTGTCTAAACACGTAGAAATGACGTGATATCCTGTCTCGGGTGTTTCTGGATCGGTATTAAAACATTCAGTCTGTTTGATGGCTAGTGTTGATTTGGGATGTAGCGTTGTCTTGTTTTGAGATACTAACTGGCATTTGTCAGAATCGTAGCAGCAGTCCCCAAATATTGTACATTCAGCATCACAACTACACGTACTGGTTTCATCCAACAGAGAGCCACACCTCCCGTCACATGATGAACTTGGTAAACAAATCGACACCTTTTTTCCGTAGAGTTCCACTTCTCCTTAAATAAAAAACAAAGAAACAGTTAGCTTGCTACTTATAATACTGCTATTGTCAATGCTACTGCTACTATTATTACTACCGTACTTCTAATGATGCTGAACAATGCCTTTTACTTTCACCTTTTATCTTATTTTTATGTAATTCAAATCTTGTTTAAAAAAAAATATATATACATATATATACATATATATATATGTCTGTCTCTTATACACATCTAGATGTGTATAAGAGACAGATAACTGAGCGATAAATAAACACAACATTTTAATAATAAAAAATGATTTTGTAATAGGTGATTGTGACTAATTTCTAATTTATTAAGCTTACTTTACTTTCAAGTGACTTTATCAAGGTAGTTTTGCCAACATTTTCAGATCCGCACACAAACAGTTTCACCTGATTAAACTCTGTCTCTTATACACATCTAGATGCTTTCTTTGTGCAAGTGTAACTGTGTGCGAAGTAGCGTTTCCTAAATTTTTTTTCACAAAGTGAAAGTATTTTTTTTTGCTATCATATTGACCTTGATTCTTATGTTTGGTTCTCATCGTTTACGCCTAACCAAATACTGTTACCTGCTCGGCCGTCCATATAACTATTCCCTGGTAGGACTAATCCTCCTGCAGAGTATTGCAAACCAAACATTAAGTTACAGGCACAATCGTTAAAAAAAACAGTCATAGAAAGTTTGTTCAACTTAATAGTTGGTATTTTCTTCGTAATTTCACCCATCCTATAACATATACCAGGGATTTAAAGCCAAAAAATTCTTCGCCAGTATCTCAGGTCTATGGTATAAAGTTTTTATTTTTAATCTGCTATGTCGTATTTAGCTGAAATAAGACCAGTCTTTTAGCGTTTGTCGATTGGTTGGTAACGGATTTAATAATTCTAGATCTGGGTGTTGTCACCCCTACTTTACATTGGCCCAGTGTTGTGTTTTGGCCTTCACTTTATTAAAAAAAAAAATTCATTGAATGGTTATTACTTTTAGTTTCTTTAAATATTTTTTTGTATAATTTATATTTTTGTCGTGCTCAAGAGTAATTCGCTTCGTGGTCCAAATTTGGCCCGTGGGCCGCCTATTATGCACCAGGGGTCTAGGCCTATATCCAGTGGCGTACGTAGGTGGTGTCCCCTAAAAAAATAACTACCCTCCCCCTGTTCCCCTAAAAAAAAAAATCACTTGCAAGTAGTTAAAAATCACCTAAAATTACCTAATTTTGCGAGTTAGCGCCCCACAACTGATCATCGAGCATCCATTTCACCTTCACGCCCCTATTAGCACCCACATTTCAAGACTTACGCCACTGCATATCGTTGTGATATTTTTGCTTCTCTGGTCTCAGCAGCTTCGCTAACCACCGTCTGCAATTGACCCAAAACATTATAATCAATAAAAATAGTTTGATTTTAGATTTGTCTAGCTCTGATTCTGTAGCCCATATGTTTCAATTATGCTGTTTGAAGTAACATGTAGTTAAGGTATTGATCGCGGCTCCTAATCATAATAATAAGCTCTGAATGGTTCTCTGTTCCTCTTTTAAGTGTAAGCTATAGGCCTAGTCTGCTAACATCTCCTCAATAATTGTACTGCTGATCGAAGACGGTGGTCTCAAAAACAGGCAAGTAGGTCCAATGAAAAATATATTGTCTTTCGGTGATTGTTGTTATATGTAGTGTACTTGGAGTGCTAGACGAGATTTATTTATAATAATTAATAATATATTTTTCTTTATTTACAGCCCTTATCCTTATACATGTAGGCCTACTATTTATAATAGTCTACAATAAAGTCAAGCAGCGAAGTGACACAAAATTTCTGATAGCTTCATTTTACGGCGATGTGTATTCGTCTTTTCGTATTCGTCTTTTCGTAGTGCGTTAGGTGCCGACCGCAACGCGTACAATGCGCGATTTATTCACACGGAAGCGCAAATAATGTGGTGTTCGCCACTTCGTGTAACACATAATGTTAAAGTAACCCTTATTCGCCAAATGATTAATTAGCGTAATTAGTTAATTAATTATGATAAGAATTTGATACTTGAACAAAATGTTCTGGTATGTATGTTATTGAAATCTCAAATAAAAATTTTATGCGCCAAAATTCCGATTCGCCGGTTCGTGGAAACACCTACGATATTTACATTTCCACACTCACAGATTCGGCTTCTTTAAGGTTTAAAAAATTATTTATATAAAAGTAGTTAGGCCCTAAACGCCTATTCGCTCTCATGCGGCGGTCCGCATGCCCCCCTCCCCCCCTAACTCTAGGGGCCCCGAAGGAGCCTTACTTATAGGTTCCTCGTTCTAGCACTCTGACCAAAAAGGAATTTGTTGATAAATAACACCATAATGTGTTTCTGAAATCGACTGTAGGGCATATATCACATTATCATATTATAACGATTAAAGAGAGGGAGTATCGTCAGCCTGACTGGGGGGCCCTCTGGGCCCGGGAACCCACCAAATTTGTAAAAAAAAAATTAATGCAGATAAATGAAAAATTCTATTCACCTAAGTACGTGATGCCATTTCCGGCCATCTAGACGACGTGGCATAATAATACATTTTCTTATCTCAGCCCCACAAGAGCAACAGCATAATGTGTGTATAAAGATTTGGAGGAGCCGGAGCCACCGGCACGCAGCTGCCGGCCCGGGGTCCACTAAATTCGTCAAAATATTTTTTAACTGGAGATAAAAAAAAACATATATATTTTATGCCTGTGATGTACCATTACTGATCATCTAAAGGTGCCATATTCATGCATTTTCTTACTTCAGCCCCAACCATGGTGGGTCTCAGGTGGTATAGATTCTTTAACTGTCAACGACACTCCCTGGCCTCAATTTTCTTTTTCATATTATAACATTTAGAATAAAAATGCACATCTAAAATCCCACAATGGAATTGGTGACCGGGACCCAAAAAGGGCCCCCAGTTTCAGAAATACACAGGGCCCCCGGCCCCATCGTTACGCATCTAGTTTAAGTTATCTAGCAACGTCCTGCGTATAGACTAGAAAAAAATCTGAAAAGTATGAGTTAGGGGGAGTGGAATGTTAGAAGCAATCCACTTAGCCAGATATCCTAATTAATCCCTTCTGGTCACCCTAAGCCCTGTTGACTCTTGATTTTACTCCTTGTATACAAATGGAGGCCATTTTGAAAAATGGCCGCCAAATTTATCTAAAATGTGCATAAAATTGAAAACAAATAAGCTACAGATATGATTTTGGTGTCTAAGCTCATAATTTCTAAACAGGCAACAATCTAGACATATAAAAACTACTGTCACTCAAGCCAGAATGGAACATAATTAAAAAATAGGTGTTTATTTGTTTAAAAATAATCGCAAAATATACTTACTTAAAATGTACATAAAATAAGAACGAGTATATAAGCTAGTTTTCTATGTAATCCAGATAGATTTTTGATCAAAAATAGATTTTATTGACTAATTTTATCATTTTTACTGCGCTGAAATCAAAAAAGTTACGTGCCATTTTTTCCCAAAGTCATCGGCCGCCATTTTGAATTTCAAGATGGCTGACACACCACATAAAACATGGTCATGATTGGTGTCAATGGAAAGCAGTGGCGGATCCAGGGGGGTTCAAGGGGTTCGGATGAACCCCACTTCTGTGAAGAAACGTAACAAAATACTGTTGGTTCCTGGCTTACAAAACGCATTACCAACCGTTTCTCGCGCATCGTGCGTTGGGACGGTCCCGCTTCAAAGTGATTTTGGATGTAACACGCATTTTGCAGAAACACATGCGTGATCTTAAATTTGTCACGCATTTAGTCCATGCATGACGACGAATAATCACTAATTCAGGGAAAATACATTTAAAATTAGAAGAAATTAGTTAAATTAAATATTTTGATAAATAATTTTCTCATTATAAATAAAGACAACAAAATTCCTAATATATATATATATATATATATATAAACTACCAAAAGTCTAAAGAACAGAAGCTTGTTATTTTTAATGTATTTAATCTTGAATGTTCTAATTTTTCTTAATTCATGTAAAAAAAAAATATTTTAAATACAAAAGAATTTGTTTCTGTATTAGTTTCAACAAAGAAGTTTCTGTAATATGGGAGAAATGTTTTTGTTGTTTTTGTTTTTGTTTTTGTTTTTTTTTTGTTCTTGTTTTCAAAATGTCTATCTACTTTTAAATTTCGATTTTTAATTGTGTATAGAAGATGAATGTGCATGTTTTTTTTG